ATAACAGTAGCAAAATTACAGTTATGAAGTAGCAATGAAATAATTTTATGGTTGGGCATCACCACAACATGAGGAGCTGTATTAAAGGGTCACAGCATTAGGAAGGTTGAGGACCACTTCTCTAATGAGACCTGTGTCTGAGACATCTAGAACCATAGCATTTCAGGGTGAGCTGTAAGTAAACAGCGGTTTGCTCCTTCTGGTTCACCTTTCTTGCTCTCCTGTCTTATAGGGTAACATAGGTTCTCTATGGGATCTTTTATGTGTTAGTTGCTGTATTTGGTTATGAGTAGTAGATAGAATGATCAGGGTGTAGCTAATAGAAACCAAAGACCCCAGCATGGCTGGAATGGAGTAGGGGACTATGGCTGTCCTTCAGCTGCTTCATATTTATTTCAAAGGAAACTTGCCCTCTGCTCCTGGTTGGTGGGCAGGAGAAGCCTTCAAACCCACAGAGTGTGTACCCACAGATCAGCCACAGGCAGACTCTTTCTGGTTCCCATGCTTGCTGATTCACTGTGGCTCACCTTGGAGCATGTAGCCATCATCAGTCCAAAGAACTGCAGGGAGTCCACAGAACTGACCAGCACAGATGTAGCTGCTGGGCTCTGGCTTGTCCCTGAGAGGAGAAGGGTTCAAAGTCCAGACAAGAAGTCCATGGTTCCATGGTGGATCGGTACCTTCAAGAGGCATCTAATCCATTAGGTTTAGATGTATTCATCCATTATAAACTTATGGCTGCTGCTGATATGGTAGCCACTGTTCAGGGTTAGGCAAGGTAAAGCCCCTTCCTTCAAAGCCTTGGCCGTCGATTGTCCTCTGCCTTCTGTGGGTGCAAACTGAGCACTTATCAATTCGCCTGGTTTTGCTCTCTTAATCCTTTCCCTCCCCCATTGGTTTCTTTCTCATCTACCAAGTATCTATTGACCCCCTCAACTGCTGACACAGTGCCTGCTTATTTGGGGGAGTTATAAGCATCCCCTTGGCTTTTGTGCAGTGGTAGCTGCAAAATGCATTAACTCAGAGTTTGTCTCAGGAGTCCAAATTTGAAACCTCCACCATAATGTGCTCTGCTATATATGGCACTGTGTTTTCCTTAGGCAATACAGATTTGTGTTCTTTTGAAAACGTACCTTCCAGCCTGGGGTAGGTCAAGATGAGGTCACAGCGGTAGAAGAAATGTATCTGAATCTTGGCAGTGGGGAACTCTTGACTATTTCTTCACAGACTAAAATCTCCGAGTCTGACTTTTGTAAGTACAGGTGGATGGGCATTGTGGCATGCTAGGAACGTGGGAGATTTGATGTCCCCCTTGTTCTCTCACCTCTTATTTGTGTCAATAATCTTTTGCCATTTAGTACTTTTTTTTTTTTTTTTTT